TGATACTCTGTGTTCTGTTGACAGAAAACTGAGTATCCAGCGTCCTACTTTTCCAGTTATTCCCATTGACCTCATTTTGTGTGCTATCACGCCATGGTCACATTTGTCGAATGCCTTTGCGAATTCCGTGTATACAACATCTGCATTCTGTTTTTCTTCTAATGCTTCAGTGGTCAAGTAGCTGTGAGAGGCATGATCTTCCTGCTCTAAATCCATGTTGGCCTGGGTTGTGGAGGTCATTGGTTTCCATGAAACTAGTGACCTGACTCCTGATGACTCTCTCCAATATTTTTATTATGTGGGACGTTAGTGCAACTGGTCTATAAATCTTTGCCAATACTTTTCTCCCTCCCTTATGTAGAAGAGCTATGTCTGCTTCTTTAAGCGCATCTGGTATCTCTCCCGTGCCCAAGCTCTTCCTCCACACTATACTGAGTGCCTGTCCTACTGGTACTTTGCATTTCTTTATAAACATTGAATTCCATGAGTCTGGACCTGGGGCTGAGTGCATGGGCATATTGTCAATTTATCTTTCAAAATCTGCCACGCTCGTGTTGATACCTGGTTGATACCTGGTTGATGGGGTTCTGGGAGCTCTTCTACTCCCCAAGCCCGGCCCGAGGCCAGGCTCGACTTGTGAGAGTTTGGTCCACCAGGCTGTTGCTTGGAGCGGCCCGCAGGCCCACATACCCACCACAGCCCGGTTGGTCCGGCACTCCTTGGAGGAATAAATCTAGTTTCCTCTTGAAAATGTCCACGGTTGTTCCGGCAATATTTCTTATGCTTGCTGGGAGGACGTTGAACAACCGCGGACCTCTGATGTTTATACAGTGTTCTCTGATTGTGCCTATGGCACCTCTGCTCTTCACTGGTTCTATTCTACATTTTCTTCCATGTCGTTCACTCCAGTACGTTGTTATTTTACTGTGTAGATTTGGTACTTGGCCCTCCAGTATCTTCCAGGTGTATATTATTTGATATCTCTCTCGTCTTCTTCCTAGTGAGTACATTTGGAGGGCTTTGAGACGATCCCAATAATTTAGGTGCTTTATTGCGTCTATGCGTGCCGTATATGTTCTCTGTATTCCCTCTATTTCAGCAATCTCTCCTGCTCTGAAGGGGGAAGTGAGTACTGAGCAGTACTCAAGACAGGACAACACAAGTGACTTGAAGAGTACAACCATTGTGATGGGATCCCTGGATTTGAAAGTTCTCGTAATCCATCCTATCATTTTTCTGGCTGTCGCAATATTTGCTTGGTTATGCTCCTTAAACGTTAGGTCGTCAGACATTATTATTCCCAAATCCTTTACATGCTGTTTTCCTACTATGGGTACATTTGATTGTGTTTTGTACTCTGTATTATGTTTAAGGTCCTCATTTTTACCGTACCTGAGTACCTGGAATTTATCACTGTTAAACATCATGTTATTTTCTGATGCCCAGTCGAAAACTTTATTAATATTAGCTTGAAGTTTTTCAATGTCCTCAGCCGAGGTAATTTTCATACTGATTTTTGTGTCATCTGCAAAGGATGATACGAAGCTGTGACTTATATTTTTGTCTATATCTGATATGAGAATAAAGAAAAGCAGCGGTGCAAGGACTGTACCCTGAGGTACAGAGCTTTTCACTGCACTTGGACTAGATTTTATATGGTTGACCGTTACTCGCTGAGTCCTGTTTGACAGAAAACTGAGTATCCAGCGTCCTACTTTACCGGTTATTCCCATTGACTTCATTTTGTGTGCTATCACGCCATGGTCACATTTATCGAAAGCCTTTGCGAAGTCCGTGTATATCACATCAGCATTCCGTTTCTCTTCTAATGCCTCAGTGACTTTGTCGTAGTGCTCAAGTAGCTGTGAGAGGCACGATCTTCCCGCTCGAAATCCATGTTGGCCTGGGTTAGTGAAGGTCATTGGTCTCCATGAAATTGGTGACCTGACTCCTAATCACTCTCTCAAATACTTTTATGATGTGCGATGTTAGTGCAACTGGTCTATCTGTTGCACTATTGATATCACTCAATAGATTGATTGATGGCAACTGTTGATATCAGTTATACTTACAGGGGTTTGGATATCACGCATAAAGAAGTTGTCCGGATCTTCCACTTTCATGCTGTGTATCGGGGTGCTAAACATGTCCTCATACTGGCATTATTGGCCTCATATTGGTGCATTATTGCTCATTTGTTCCTGCCGAATGGAATTTTGGCTGGCACTTGGATGCATAATTCTTAATTCGCCAGTTTCTTCAATAAATCTGTGTTAATGTTAACATTACTGCGATTTCTTCAGATTTCTAGACACCATGATCATATTTATTTTGTTCAGTGCATTCTGTACTTGGGCCAGAGACGGAATGAGTTATTAATATTGTTTTAGGCTAACTGTTCCTCGACATGCACCTACAGGCTATATACTATGCACGTACAGGCCATATACTGTGCACGTAAAGACTATATACTGTGCACGTACAGGCCGTGAAAAGACAATGAAGGTAGAGGGGGGCGGCCTTCCACAGAGCCGCAGGTGGTGCAGGCCTGACACACACACACACATCTAATAAGTATAATATACATAAATAATAAGACAATGGGTGGAGATACGAGGATCTAAGACAAGTGCCATAAGGAAGTTCTGGGGGGAGAGGTGAGAGAGCCGCGCTCCTCCACTAAACTATCAACTCTCACAACTAACATAGAAACTTTCTAATTGCATACCGCCTTACTTCTGTAAAAAAAAACAAAAAAAAAAAACAATATTTTTCTAAAACTAAAATTTCTAAGTTTGTAATTTGAAAATTGTATTTTTTAGAAATGCACTTACTGGAGGGATATAAAATGGGTAGGATTAGTACATACTTCATAAAAAATATATCTAATTGTTCTTTGCATTTGTCTCAAAAGCATGCAGAATTTATAAACAAAAATCTACCATCTTTACTAGACTATGTGCTGTGTTGAACAGCTTCCAAGCTTCAGCTTAACACCATCAAGCTTAGCCATTATGGGAGTGCAAAAAAGCATGCTATCAAGCCATCTTTATCTAGTATCACAAAATGAAAGTCAAGGACCAACTATAATTATGTTTTTGAAGTAGAGTAAATATGGTCCCGTGAACACGAGCCGAGGATGGTGCAGCGCGGAGCAGAATGTGAGGAGACAAGAGCGTGGACAACGTCCCGCTCACAACAGCTTTCGCCAATCATAGAAAATGTGAGGTAAACGTTCACGTCAAGATGGTCTTGATATCTGCTTGATGGGGTTCTGGGAGTGGTTCTACTCCCCAAGCCCCACGGCAAGCCCCGGTCTTGCCATACACCGTGCGTCATACAGGACTACCCAACTGTCAACAGGTGGAGACCGGCTTGAACACACGGGGTTCCCGTTGACGGATCCTGGCAACGGTGTGGAGTGTCACACTAAGTGGCTCACCAAATGAATGCAGAGAGTGCAATGAGGGTGCAACTGGCTCCTCTCGCCCCCCCCCCTTTTCTTGCATATAGGGACTACATGTATCCTTCCATGCCTCTTGGTAATTCATTAGTTTCCAGGGAAGAGTTAAAGAGCATCACACAGGAGTGGCTCAACACCCCAGATGCCTCTTTCTGTATCCACAGTGAGTCCTACTTTTCCCATAGCCACTTGTCCTACCCAGCTCGGCCAGTTGCCACTGCCTCTACAACTGGGGCTCGCCTCACTCTGCCTTTCAGTGTAAGCGCTGCTCTTGAAGATCGACTGGGAGTTTTGACTCCCACACAAATACCAATGGAAACCTTTCATTTAATACTTCACATACAGCCATATATTTTTTGTGAAATGACTAATATTAACTTGCTTCAAATATTGCTATGTATAAGTGTGAATTAGTCTTATGCCTTGGTTTCAATGTCATTTCCATATTGACACTTGTCATTTCTCTTATAATTATTATAATTGTTTTGTGTTATGTTATGCCTGCATCTTTCTAATGTTTCTTATTCCTCCTCTACAGCACGTAGGAGGCTCTAGTCCAGCTGTTGGCTGGATACTTTTACCTTCAACGTCCTGTAGTTGGTGTGACGTTTAGCGTTGTGTTCCGGCATCTTCAAGCTCTGCAGGTCATTTCTTGTGAGGGTTTGAACACGGGCTCTTTCTTCCCTACAGTGTGCTGCTTGAGATTAATGATCGATGACGATTAAGCCACCCAAGAGATGGCACGGGCATGAATAGCCCGTAAGTGCTGCTCTAAGATTTCTGACACTTTAGTAGTTGCCTTACAGGGTATTCAAGCCCGTGCCACCTCTTGGGTGGCTTAATCTTCATCAATCAGTAGTGGCCTTACCAGAGTGCTCGCCTACCTCCTTCACCCGCCCCCATAGACCAGTGGTGACCCCAGGCGGCCACGTTACACCACTACACGTCATCTTATCTCACACGGACACACATTTGTATAACTGACCAGCCCCAAGATAACAATTACAGCAAAACTTTGATGATGATACAAAAAGATAAACAGTGTTAAAAGCAGTGAGGCGTGCGTCTGGTAGTGGGGGCGAGGCGTGCACCTGGTAGTATGGGCGTGCACCTGGTAGGAGGGGCGTGCACCTGGTAGTGCGGCTACAGGGAACCTTGCCACAGATCAACACACTACACAAGGAGACAACACATGCCGCCTACAGCACGGTCAACTACAGTACTGTATACATACACCAAAGATACAAAATACGTCAAAATTAATACCAAATAAAAATATCACGTTGGAACATCAAAAAGCTTCGACTTTCAAGACAAAAATAAAAATAACGACAATACATTCAAGAACAAATACAAGATGGCGCTGATCAGTAAAGCGGAAACAAGAAAATAAACGATAATAGCAAGTACAAATCAAACGAAACAAATAAAGTGCAGCCCTGGAGAAGGGGTTTGTGGGCGGGTAAGAACAAGCAAGAGCAGCCGCCCTGTTGTGGGCGGCGGCCCGCCCACGGCCCACCCACACACACACACTTACAACGGGGGAGCAGCAGGAGTCGTCGCTGCAGTTGCTGCAGACGGTAATACAGGTGTACTGCTGTAGGGGAGACAATGGTTGGCACCTGTTAGCCTTCACTGTACAGTGATCTGGGACCAGCACACGTGTGAAGGTGGGCGTGGGTGAGAGGTGGAGGCTGGTGGGTGAGAGGTGGAGGCTGGTGGGTGAGAGGTGGAGGCTGGTGGGTGAGAGGTAGTGGCTGGTGGGTGAGAGGTGGAGGCTGGTGGGTGAGAGGTGGAGGCTGGTGGGTGAGAGGTGGAGGCTGGTGGGCGAGAGGTAAAGGCTGGTGGGCGAGAGGTGGAGGCTGGTGGGTGAGAGGTGGTGGCTGGTGGGTGAGAGGTGGAGGCTGGTGGGTGAGAGGTGGAGGCTGGTGGGCGAGAGGTGGAGGCTGGTGGGCGAGAGGTGGAGGCTGGTGGGTGAGAGGTGGTGGCTGGTGGGTGAGAGGTGGTGGCTGGTGGGTGAGAGGTGGAGGCTGGTGGGTGAGAGGTGGAGGCTGGTGGGTGAGAGGTGGAGGCTGGTGGGTGAGAGGTGGAGGCTGGTGGGCGAGAGGTGGAGGCTGGTGGGTGAGAGGTGGAGGCTAGTGGGTGAGAGGAGGAGGCTAGTGGGTGAGAGGAGGAGGCTAGTGGGTGACAGGAGGAGGCTAGTGGGTGACAGGAGGAGGCTAGTGGGTGACAGGAGGCTAGTGGGTGAGAGGAGGCTGGTGGGTGAGAGGTGGCTGGTGGGTGAGAGGAGGCTGGTGGGTGAGAGGAGGCTGGTGGGTGAGAGGAGGCTGGTGGGTGAGAGGAGGCTGGTGGGTGAGAGGAGGCTGGTGGGTGAGAGGAGGCTGGTGGGTGAGAGGAGGCTGGTGGGTGAGAGGAGGCTGGTGGGTGAGAGGAGGCTGGTGGGTGAGAGGAGGCTGGTGGGCGAGAGGAGGCTGGTGGGTGAGAGGAGGCTGGTGGGTGAGAGGAGGCTGGTGGGCGAGAGGAGGCTGGTGGGTGAGAGGAGGCTGGTGGGTGAGAGGAGGCTGGTGGGTGAGAGGAGGCTGGTGGGTGAGAGGAGGCTGGTGGGTGAGAGGTGGCTGGTGGGTGAGAGGAGGCTGGTGGGTGAGAGGAGGCTGGTGGGTGAGAGGCGGCTGGTGGATGAGGAGGCTCTACTCTCTACCTTCTCACACCACTTGTAATACATTCTATAATATAAGCATTAACACCACATCCAAGCACAGTAGCATCATTCCTGGTACACAAGACAGCAGCTGGTGCACAAGACAACAGCTGGTGCACAAGACAACAGCTGGTGCACAAGACAACAGCTGGTGCACAAGACAACAGCTGGTGCACAAGACAGCAGCTGGTGCACAAGACAACAGCTGGTGCACAAGACAACAGCTGGTGCACAAGACAACAGCTGGTGCACAAGACAACAGCTGGTGCACAAGACAACAGCTGGTGCACAAGACAGCAGCTGGTGCACAAGACAGCAGCTGGTGCACAAGACAACAGCTAGTGCACAAGACAGCAGCTGGTGCACAAGATAGCAGCTGGTGCACAAGACAACAGATGGTGCACAAGACAGCAGCTGGTGCACAAGATAGCAGCTGGTGCACAAGACAGCTGGTGCACAAGACAACAGCTGGTGCACAAGACAGCAGCTGGTGCGCAAGACAGCAGCTGGTGCACAAGACAACAGCTGGTGCACAAGACAGCAGCTGGTGCACAAGACAACAGCTGGTGCACAAGACACCAGCTGGTGCACAAGACAGCAGCTGGTGCACAAGACAGCAGATGGTGCACAAGACAACAGCTAGTGCACAAGACAGCAGCTGGTGCACAAGATAGCAGCTGGTGCACAAGACAGCAGCTGGTGCACAAGACAGCAGCTGGTGCACAAGACAACAGCTGGTGCACAAGACAACAGCTGGTGCACAAGACAACAGCTGGTGCACAAGACAACAGCTGGTGCACAAGACAACAGCTGGTGCACAAGACAACAGCTGGTGCACAAGACAACAGCTGGTGCACAAGACAGCAGCTGGTGCACAAGACAGCAGCTGGTGCACAAGACAACAGCTAGTGCACAAGACAGCAGCTGGTGCACAAGATAGCAGCTGGTGCACAAGACAACAGATGGTGCACAAGACAACAGCGGGTGCACAAGATAGCAGCTGGTGCACAAGACAACAGCTGGTGCACAAGACAACAGCTGGTGCACAAGACAGCAGCTGGTGCGCAAGACAGCAGCTGGTGCACAAGACAACAGCTGGTGCACAAGACAGCAGCTGGTGCACAAGACAACAGCTGGTGCACAAGACAACAGCTGGTGCACAAGACAACAGCTGGTGCACAAGACAGCAGCTGGTGCACAAGACAACAGCTAGTGCACAAGACAGCAGCTGGTGCACAAGACAACAGATGGTGCACAAGATAGCAGCTGGTGCACAAGATAGCAGCTGGTGCACAAGACAGTAGCTGGTGCACAAGACAACAGCTGGTGCACAAGACAACAGCTAGTGCACAAAACAACAGCTGGTGCACAATACTGCAGCTGGTGCACAAGACAACAGCTGGTGCACAAGACAGCAGCTGGTGCACAAGACAACAGCTGGTGCACAAGATAGCAGCTGGTGCACAAGACAACAGATGGTGCACAGGATAGCAGCTGGTGCACAAGACAGTAGCTGGTGCACAAGACAACAGCTGGTGCACAAGACAACAGCTAGTGCACAAGACAACAGCTGGTGCACAATACTGCAGCTGGTGCACAAGACAACAGCTGGTGCACAAGACAGCAGCTGGTGCACAAGATAGCAGCTGGTGCACAATACAGCAGCTGGTGCACAAGACAGCAGCTGGTGCACAAGACAACAGCTGGTGCACAAGATAGCAGCTGGTGCACAAGACAACAGCTGGTGCACAAGGCAACAGCCGGTGCACAAGATAGCAGCTGGTGCACAAGATAGCAGCTGGTGCACAAGACAACAGCCGGTGCACAAGACAACAGCCGGTGCACAAGACAACAGCCGGTGCACAAGACAACAGCCGGTGCACAAGACAACAGCCGGTGCACAAGACAACATCTGGTGCACAAGATAGCAGGTGGTGCACAAGATAGCAGGTGGTGCACAAGATAGCAGGTGGTGCACAAGATAGCAGGTGGTGCACAAGACAACAGCTGGCGCACAAGACAACACCTGGTGCACAAGACAACACCTGGTGCACAAGATAACACCTGGTGCACAAGACAACAGCCGGTGCACAAGACAACACCTGGTGCACAAGACAACACCTGGTGCACAAGACAACACCTGGTGCACAAGACAACACCTGGTGCACAAGACAACACCTGGTGCACAAGACAACACCTGGCGCACAAGACAACACCTGGTGCACAAGACAACACCTGGTGCACAAGACAACACCTGGTGCACAAGACAACAGCCGGTGCACAAGACAACAGCCGGTGCACAAGACAACAGCCGGTGCACAAGACAACACCTGGCGCACAAGACAACACCTGGTGCACAAGACAACACCTGGTGCACAAGACAACACCTGGTGCACAAGACAACACCTGGTGCACAAGACAACAGCCGGTGCACAAGACAACACCTGGTGCACAAGACAACAGCCGGTGCACAAGACAACAGCCGGTGCACAAGACAGCTGGACCGCTCCCACCAACCCTACACATGCACATAACTCACACCGAGGGTAACCATCTTCACTATATTTCAATGTATATATATACTTCAACAACTGTCCTTATACAATATATTTCATTATCCATTTAAGATATCTAATATTTTGTTTTCTTATATCTTACTTTATTACTTAATATATAAATGTGAAAACCTGTCTTGGTGTAGTTGATAAGCCTAAAGTCACACCTGGACCCCACAGGCTGTGTCAGTACCGTCACTACACCTGTACAGTACCGTCACTACACCTGTACAGTACCGTCACTACACCTGTACAGTACCGTCACTACACCTGCACAGTACCGTCACTGTCACTACACCTGCACAGTATCGTCACTACACCTGTACAGTACCGTCACTACACCTGTACAGTACCGTCACTACACCTGTACAGTACCGTCACTACACCTATACAGTACCGTCACTACACCTGCACAGTACCGTCACTGTCACTACACCTGCACAGTACCGTCACTGTCACTACACCTGCACAGTACCGTCACTGTCACTACACCTGCACAGTACCGTCACTGTCACTACGCCTGCACAGTACCGTCAGTCACTACACCTGCACAGTACCGTCACTGTCACTACACCTGCACAGTACCGTCAGTCACTACACCTGCACAGTACCGTCACTGTCACTACACCTGCACAGTACCGTCACTGTCACTACACCTGCACAGTACCGTCACTGTCACTACACCTGCACAGTACCGTCACTGTCACACCTGCACAGTACCGTCACTGTCACTACACCTGCACAGTACCGTCACTGTCACTACACCTGCACAGTACCGTCACTGTCACTACACCTGCACAGTACCGTCACTGTCACTACACCTGCACAGTACCGTCACTGTCACTACACCTGCACAGTACCGTCACTGTCACTACACCTGCACAGTACCGTCACTGTCACTACACCTGCACAGTACCGTCACTGTCACTACACCTGCACAGTACCGTCACTGTCACTACACCTGCACAGTACCGTCACTGTCACTACACCTGCACAGTACCGTCACTGTCACTACACCTGCACAGTACCGTCACTGTCACTACACCTGCACAGTACCGTCACTGTCACTACACCTGCACAGTACCGTCACTACACCTGCACAGTACCGTCACTGTCACTACACCTGCACAGTACCGTCACTACACCTGCACAGTACCGTCACTACACCTGCACAGTACCGTCACTACACCTGCACAGTACCGTCACTACACCTGCACAGTACCGTCACTACACCTGCACAGTACCGTCACTACACCTGCACAGTACCGTCACTACACCTGCACAGTACCGTCACTACACCTGCACAGTACCGTCACTACACCTGCACAGTACCGTCACTACACCTGCACAGTACCGTCACTACACCTGCACAGTACCGTCACTACACCTGCACAGTACCGTCACTACACCTGCACAGTACCGTCACTACACCTGCACAGTACCGTCACTACACCTGCACAGTACCGTCACTACACCTGCACAGTACCGTCACTACACCTGCACAGTACCGTCACTACACCTGCACAGTACCGTCACTACACCTGCACAGTACCGTCACTACACCTGCACAGTACCGTCACTACACCTGCACAGTACCGTCACTACACCTGCACAGTACCGTCACTACACCTGCACAAGCAGTAACCATGCAATACAAACCTCGCCATATCCCCAGTGCTGCGTGCAAGCAAAGGAAAAGAGTATTAACATTTAATAAAGATTTGATTATTATTAGCAGCAGCAACACACACATAGTAACACTGGCCTGCTGGCAACACACACACACCAGCACATACCAGAGTATACACACACCACCACATACCAGAGTATACACACACCACCACATACCAGAGTATACACACACACCACCAACACCTCAACGCGCCCAGATGTGTACTAGTACAAACATGTAGCCACAGGCGACACAGCACCTTTGTCAACAGTCAATGTGCATCTGTGCAAAGCAAATTTTGTTCAGATAATGTTGAGATGCACAGCCTTCACAGCCGCGGTCTTCACGCGTGTGAGGGCTAAAGGGCACATCTCCTTTCAGAAATTACTAACTTATCAAAGTATTTTAGCTTAATACACATCTGTTGCAATTGGCGCCCGACTCTTCACGTTCGCTGATATTATTCTTTAATGAATGTTTTAAGAACATTGCTCGCTGAATCAGTATTGCAAGTAATTTAATTCGCTTCATTACATATATTACAAAAGCTCCCTCGCATTATGATGTGTCACCTGTCTTGCGGTTCCCTTCTCTCAAGTCAATGTCTCAGGCCTTCCTCCTACATGACAACACTTGTACCAATTATTTGATCACACGCTCCAATATGTAGTGATTGAGACTCTGAAAACGTTCACTTTGTATCCATTTAGACCAAATAGAATTCTATTGCGTCGGAAATATAACTAAAGAACCTAACTCCCTCCTACACCTGTTACTGTCACCACTACACGTGCACACCACTATCACCAGCGTCACAGCGCTCGACCCTCAACACCCCGACCTCACCCACATGCTCAAGGCTGCCGGACCAACCAGGTTGTAGTGGATACATGGGCCTGTGGGCCGCTCCAAGCCAACAAACAGCCTGTTGGACCAAGTTATGACAAGTGGAGCCCGGTCTCAGGCCGCGCTCGGGGAGTAGAACTCCCGAGACCCCCTCCAGGTATGCTGCAGGTATACCCAACCATTTGGACGGTCGGGGATTAAACACCGAGCTGCACGAAGGGAGACCGTCGCTCTATCAGCTCAAGTGGTTGGGCACCATTCCTGCCCTCCGTCCCATCCCAAATCCTTATTCTGCTCCCTTCCAAGTGTTATATAGTGGTAATGGCTTGGCACGTTCTCCTGACAGTTCCCTCCCCTCCCTAGACACCGGCAAGCAGGAGGACATCGTCAAGCGTCCTCCAGTGTGGCCAGGCCAGCAGCTTGTCATAATACGGTGGACTGACCAGTTCCTTGACCTACGCCTTTGTTTACGGAGAGTTCATGACCATGCTGCTTGCCAACCTTGCACCGTGAGAACCCACACAAGACGCCCTTGTCAAGACGCTCCCCGAGGCTCAGCGTTTCAGCAAGGAATCCTATCAAGACCAGATCAAATACATGCACGGAATCTAATTACATATAAATCCTAGAACAATTCATAAATATTTTGTAAAGGTGGTAAAGCCAGAAGGTGGACAGGTGGGGTAGACTGAGGCTCGAGGCGGACGCTGTAATCCCAAGATAGCATCGCCTCTCAAGCCTCGTATTCCCATCTTAACTGCAGATTAGATATGTCAGCGATAAACGACTCAAAATTTAAGACCCACCTTCCCCAGCGATAAGAGGCGAGGCCGCAGCTCTCGTCACAATACACTAACATCACCACAAACAATTTAAAATATGTTTTCAACTCGTGAACGGAACCTGCGTAGCCTGGCCCCATGTCCACACTTACACTCTACGTAAATTATTTACAAAGGAATGCTCCCCTTTTGTCTTAAGGAAATTGTTCATCTTCTACACTCGCTTATCCTGCCAGGGTCTGCTAATGAGTTTCATCTATCTTGAGGTTATCTTCACATGATTTCGGGGCTTAGTGTCCCCGCGGCCCGGTCCTCGACCAGGCCTCCACCCCCAGGAAGCAGCCCGTGACAGCTGACTAACACCCAGGTACCTATTTTACTGTTAGGTAACAGGGGCATAGGTTGAAAGAAACTCTGCCCATTGTTTCTCGCCGGCGCCTGGGATCGAACCCGGGACCACAGGATCACAAGTCCAGCGTGCTGTCCGCTCGGCCGACCGGCTCCCTTACTCATATCTGCAGTTTACAATTGTATTTATACTATTAGGTCCCTATAATTATAGGCCATACAAATTCATTAAAATGTTATTTTTAGTCTCACTATTAAAATTCTATGTTATATGTTTTGATAATATGTCACTACTCAAGTTATAGGTTGTACGCACTTTTATCTGCAAGCTGTATGTCATACTTTATCTAATACATACATACATTTCCGTTTTTTTTAACTGTTGTACACCTATTCATGCCAGCGAGAATTGTAACAATTTATATAAACTGGTTATGGAAGAAGCCTTAGTCAGCCTCGGCTGTGCTACCGCCAGGTATACGACTAAGTTAACAGCTTTCATCATCATCCTCGTATTATTATTATTATTATTATTTGAGCCGTACTGCCAAGTGGAGTGGGAAGCCTGGTTGGCGCTCTCAACGTTTACCGAACAAAGAGCTCTCACTCCTGAAGTTCCAAGAAGCACTTTTCCACGTTTCATGGTTCAAGAGGCAGACGCTGCTAGAGCAGGCATCCAACCATACAGAGAGCAGACAGACGGCTGGGATATTATGACACCCGTGTCTGCCTGTCCGTAGTGTGTTCCTCCCTGTTTGTGTCTATGAAAACGGGCCCTGGGGGACCTGCCTCTTTAGCTGTCTCTAATCTCGCACAAAGACTCGCTAATCTCGTGTACACACACGCGTCAGGATTTGTAATCACAGACCACAGAGCCTTCTGCAGCCCACATCCCCGTGCCCTAGTCAACTAGTCGCTGTCCTGACATGTCCCAGAGCCTTTAAATTCCCATTTTCACGTACGTGCGTCCCTAACCCACGGACTTCGAGTCCTTAATCTTGCAGCCCGGCCTAGGGACAGCCTAGGTCTGTGAGGCTCACAGACCAGGTCTTCTCTGGTCTTGAGCCTGTCTTTGAAGCCTCGCAGGCCCACATTGCCAACACAACCTAGCTCATCAGGTAACTCTAAACAAATTTTTTGGAGTTGCCAAGCTGGAACTTGCCACTGTCTTCTACACTGTGTTCTCTATGTTCTCTATGGAACACCGACCCTCTTTTCTGTGGTCTGTGCACCTTCACGCTCACTCCAGTAAACTATTATCTGGCCGCTGCCCCGCTAAGCGGTACAATCACATCCATCATCATCATTCACAGTGAACAAGGTTAAACACTATTCAGCCCCCTCACCATTCACACCATCTACACCTGCCAATAAAGTAATCCCCCCTAGTGTTACACTCTACCCGAACAGGTAAGCAGTTATCAAAAGGGGCATCAAGCTGAACTATGCACTAAGACTATGCACCACCACTACCCCAAGCAAGATACAAGGAGTGTGCATGTCGCAGCACCATGAGCAGGAATGTCTTAAGCACCAGTAAGCAGGGCCTTGAGTAGAAGCTGGCGGCCAGGTGGTAAGCCCAACCACACTGTCAAAAGCGTCTTAGGCCAGATAGGAGACTAGGTGAGGCTGGATGGTGCAGGGCGTACCATAGCTCCAAGAACGTCTTGAGCCTGCCCTCGGGCTCAGTATGGCGTCCTGAGCCTGCCCTCGGACTCAGTATGGCGTCTTGAGCCTGCCCTCGGGCTCAGTATAGCGTCCTGAGCCTGCCCTCGGGGCTCAGAAAGGCGTCCTGAGCCTGCCCCGGGGCTCAGTATGGCGTCCTGAGCTTGCCCTCGGGCTCAGTATAGCGTCTTGAGCCTGCCCTCGGGCTCAGTATGGCGTCCTGAGCCTGCCCCGGGGCTCAGTATGGCGTCCTGAGCCTGCCCCGGGGCTCATTATGGCGTCCTGAGCCTGCCCGCGGGCTCAGTATGGCGTCCTGAGCCTGCCCGCGGGCTCAGTATGGCGTCCTGAGCCTGCCCGCGGGCTCAGTATGGCGTCCTGAGCCTGCCCGCGGGCTCAGTATGGCGTCCTGAGCCTGCCCGCGGGCTCAGTATGGCGTCCTGAGCCTGCCCGCGGGCTCAGTATGGCGTCCTGAGCCTGCCCGCGGGATCAGTATGGCGTCCTGAGCCTGCCCGCGGGATCAGTATGGCGTCCTGAGCCTGCCCTCGGGCTCAGTATGGCGTCCTGAGCCTGCCGTCGGGCTCAGTATGGCGTCCTGAGCCTGCCCGCGGGCTCAGTATGGCGTCCTGAGCCTGCCCTCGGGCTCAGTATGGCGTCCTGAGCCTGCCCTCGGTTATAATGACAATGAACACGGCTTTACACGAGGAAAGTTAAACAAGAAGAAACATGACTGTGGTCAGAGACCATCTCAAGATGGAACACTTAAAGTCTGTCTCCTTTCTATTCTAGAACTCATCTACACAGTAATATTTCTACACCGGCGACACAGCCTCGCTGGTACCCTTACGCCAACAACACTTCAGTACCATAAGGTGTACATACACTTCTACACTAAGGGTGTCACAGCCGTATCCCAGAGAATGTGAAACATGAAAACATGAGCTGAATTCCAGTGAGATTAAAACAACAAACATGGCCGCCGTTGAGGGGAAATGCGGCGACACACAGAGGTATTCTTGTCAGTTAACTTCTGGGAAACGAGGGGAGAGCAAAAACCCCTCGAGGGGTCCCTAGCTAAACATGTAGGGAAGGGGAAGGCCAGGGCCGGGTGTGCCACACGCAACCCAGGTTACGCACACACACGCACATACACACGCACGCACGCGCACATGTGGTGGAGGCTGACTCCATACACAGTGTCAAGTGTAGATATGATAGAGCCCAGTAGGCTCAGGAACCTGTACACCAGTTGACTGACGAGACCAAAGAGCCAGAGCTCAACCCCCGCAAACACAACTAGGTGAGTACACACACACACGCACGCACGCCCTCTAGCATTACATTAAATATTTAACACCACTTACATT